CCACTTTCAGGGTTTTTCTCTTCTTTCAAGGAGGAAGGGGAATAAACATTTACATAGCACCTACTATGTGCCACACTTTTTTTCTTACAAATATCATCTCATTTGATTCTTATAACCAAGGTAGGTGCTTATTATTATCCCCATTTTACACTTGAGGAAACTGAGGCAAAGAGAGGTTGTCCACAGCCAGTCACATAGCCAGTAAGCATCAGTGGCTAGATTGGAATTTAAGTCTTTCTGACTCCAGATATTTTGCTACTAGCTCAGTTCTGATACCTTTACCTATTAAACCCTGCTTCAGTGCTTATTAATTATCTGACCCTGGACAAGTCAATTAACCTCCAAGAGCCTTAAGCTCCTCATCTGTATTGTTATTGTGAGAATAAAAAAAATGATATTGCATATAAAGTATTTTACAAACTTTAAAGGACTATATAAATGCCAGTTATCATTATTAGTGGGGGAGAATGCGACATGTATTTCAACGGAATTTGGATCTCATTTGAATTGTTCCTTCTAAACCTGTAATTCCCAATCTCATGCTCATCCGTCCCGTACTGTTCTTGTCCAGAATCTCCCAGAAGTTCATCACAGGGGTAGGGTCCTCCCAGCTTGTTACCCCTTTCTTGCTTTTCTTTCTTGCTTCTTCCTGACAGCTCAAGGTTACCACTGGAGTCCTGGCTGCCCACTTGTCATCCCTCATCGTTGTCACTTGACCAGTTCACCTTCTCTTCCTTTGATCCATTTTCGTGATTGACAGATAACAGGTAATGTGAAGGGGACGGGGGTGGGGAAGAGTACTGAGGGGATCAGGGAAGATTTCATAGAGGAGGTGACATCTTGAGCCTTGACGGAAGATAAGGATTCTGAGAGGCATGACAGAGGAAATATGAATGGATGAACAAATAGAAAAAGTATTTATTAAGCACTTGCTATATGCTAGGCATCATGCTAAGCACTAAAGATACAAATATAAACTAACAAGACAGTCCCTGCTCTCAAGGAGCATATATTCTAATGGAAAAGATAACATAAAGTGAAGCTAGAAGGCAGTAGGGGAAGATGTTAACAGAGGAATGTTTGGAAATAACCAGGAAGAGTCATGGTGGCCAGATTCCAAGAAAGGCAAAGTATCAGAGCCTAGGGTCCCAGAGGTAGTATCTAAGTTCTGGTGACTGGAAATCTACCAAGTAATTAATTCTGCAGTAGAGTTACCAGAGGTACAAATTCCAAGTGGCCTGGCAGCATAGAATACAGCATGTCCATATCTACTGTTGAACAACCTGAAATACATTACAGTCTTCTGTCCTTTTGTTTCAGAAAATGCTGTTGAGCACCATCTATTCTGGAGAGCACAAATTTGAAAATGGTACATTATATATCAAAAGTACTTTCTAGCCTTGGAAAGTTTGATGGTTGCTATTCTGATCACATATAACTATTTGACTTATATGAAGTAATAATTAAGGAAGAAAGAAGGAATGAGTTACTGCAAGAGACCATCCCAAGTGCCCCTCACTGACCAACTAATGACCTCCCTCTGAGATTATTTTTAATTTACCTTAAATATATCTTGTATGGACAGGATGTTTCCAAGTTGTCTCCTTCCCCCATTAGAATTCGAGCTCCTCGAATATGGGGACTGTCTCGGGGCTTTCTTTGTACTACTCCCAGGGCTAGCTCAGTGCCTGGCACATAGGTTTTAGTGAATAAAAGCTTGCTGATTGATTATGGGTAGAAATTAACTTTAAATGTAAATAGTAGTAAACATGTTGGTTAGCTTTTATAATTTAAGTTAAATGCAGTGAAATAATCTATGTAATAATAATCAGTGAAATTTGAGTAATAAGATTTGGTTATCAGAGGGCCTTAGCTCTCATAAGCTCCACCAGTTACTTGGGGACTGGGCAAGTCACTAAACTTCTCTGGGGCTTCAGTTTCCTGTAAAATGAGGAAGCTAAATCAAGCCATCAATGAGTTATTCCATGCCAGGTACTGTTGTAGGCTTTGGAGTACAAAGATAAAAGTGAAATAGTGCTTGCCCTCAAGGAGTTTAGGCTCTATAGGAGGAGACAGGGAGGGAGAGACAGACAGACAGACAGAGAAAGAGACAGAGACAGAGAGAGACAAAGAGAGAGTTATCTACAAAATATATATTATACAATAAATACAAGGTAATTTTGAAGGGGCAGACACCATATACAATAAATACAAGGTAATTTTGAAGGGACAGGCACAAACAGTTGGGGGTGATCAGAATAACTGGACTAGATGACCTCTAAGGTCTCTGCCAGTTCCAAATCTATAATCCAATTAAAAAAAAATAAACATATAACCCTTCCATGACAAACACAAAAGGTACCAGACCCTATAATACCAAATGAGATATTTCTTAAATTATCTTTCCTTCCAAGAAAATAGCATGTCGGTAATCCTGCTCAGTTTAAATCTTTCCTCTATTAATAAAATTACACATTTGAAAGAGAAAAAAAAGTTTCACTTATCAAAACAATGAAACATATTTAACCTTTCATTTCCACTTTAGGCTCTTATTTCATAAATTTCATGTGTTGTTAAGCTCTCCCAGAAAACTGAGTTATTGTGAAGTTAACAGCTCAGTGATTTTTCAGGGGTCAGGAAAGTGACCCAAGCATCTTGACCCTCTAAAGCCCTGGGCCTTACCACCAACTCATCCTATAACTAGGGTCATAGCAGGTCATAAGAAGTAGAAGGGGAACCAGACTCCCTTAGTACTGAGAGACCTGGGCCTATCAGAATCCCATTACCTACCACTGCATTCAAACCCAGGTCTCCTGGACTCAGGAAGACTCATTGTCTTGAGTTCAAATCTGACCTCTGACACACTAGCTGTGTGACTCCGGTAGCCTCAGTTTCCTCATCTGTAAAATGGGTCTGAGATGTAAGGGGCAAACCACTTTCAGTATCTTTGCCAAGAAAACCCCAAATGGGGTCACCAAGAGTTAGACAGGACTGAAAAACAACTGAATAACAAAACTAAATATTTACTATTGCTTGCTATTGGATTTGAACCCAGGTCTACCTGAATCCAAGTCCAACCCTAATTTATCCATTGCAGGAACTTCAGGCTGTGCATGGAACCCTTACCAAGAAGAAACCACCCATGGGTAGCAAAAAGTCCCTGTTTGAATAATTAAAAGCCCAGACCAAGAAGATATAACAATAAAAAGAGCTAGGATTTGTATAAAATTTTAAGATTTGCAAAGTGTTTACTCATCTGAATAAAATCTCATCTGAGCCTCACAACAACTCTTTCAGGGAGCATGACCTAAGTGCTAATATTATCCCTACATTGGCAGTGAGACAATTGAGGTAGAGACAGGTTAAATGACTAGTCCAGGGTCACTTGCCTAAGAGTCTAAAGCAGGATCAGAACTCAGGTCTTCTTAACTCTTGATTTTTTTTTCTTTTGCTTGGGGAGGCAACTGGGGTTAAATGACTTGCCTAGGGTCACACAGCTAGTAAGTGTCAAGTGTTTGATCTGAGGCAGGATTTGTACTCAGGTCATCTTAACTCCAAGGCTGGATCTCTTTCCACTGCACCACATAGTTGCCCCTCTTTTTTTAAAAAAAAATTTATTTTTTTAATGTATTTTTTGGCAATTAGGGTTAAGAGACTTGCCCAGGGTCACACTGCTAGTAAGTGTTAAGTGCTTGATCTGAGGCAGGATTTGTACTCAGGTCCTCCTGACTTCAGGGCCTGTTGCTCTATCCACTTCACCACCTAACTGCCCCCTTCTTAACTCTTAAATTTGACATTCTATCCACTATCCCACCTAGTTGCCTATCTATAAGGCATGTCCCTCACTCCTTATAGGATCCTTATGGGTCGGAAAAATAAATTTGTAAACCCATATCTAAACAAGCCTGTATCCATTTGTACATAATTTGCTTGTTCTCTTCCCTGTCAAGAGTGTGATCTCCTTGAGAGCAGAGATGGTGTTTTTATCTTTCTTTGCATCCCCAGCACATGCTGTGCCTGGCACAGAGGAAGTGCTTAATAAATGCTTGTGGATGGACTGTAGGAAAAGGGGAGGGCACAATACAGGCCTGTTTGACTCCTGACCAGGGCTGAGGCTGCAGATCACAAATCTGATTTAACATTTGATGAGTGGCTGGGGGGTGGGGTGGGGTGGTAAACTGGTCAATTCCCTGGCTTCCTTCAGGTCCCAGATGAAATTCCACCTTTTACAGGAAGCCTTTCCTGATCCCCCTGGTTGAACAGCAAACTTACCTGTTAGAGTGGGAGCTTCTTTAGGGGGTCTCTTTTGGTGTTCAATACAATGCCTGGCACTTTTTGTTGTTGAGCTGTTTTTCAGTCCTGTCCAACTCTTCATGGGACCCGTTTGGGGTTTTCTTAGCAAGGATACTGGAGCGGTTTGCCATGTCCTTCTCCAGTTCACGGTAGGTGTTTAATAAGTATTTATTAACTACTGACTTACTCGTTAGAAGCTAAACTCTTTGGGGGCAGGGGCAGAGCTTTTGCCTCTCTCGAGGCGCGGCACGGTGCCTGGCACATAGCAGGCATTTAATACATGTATGTACACTTTCTTGTTAGAAGGCGAGCGCCCTGAGGGCAGGGACAGAGCTTTCGCCTCTGTCGCTGCCCGGCACACAGTAGGCGCTCCACAAATGCTCGCGGCCGGACTCTGGGAGGACCCGAGCGCTTGCCAGACGCTCACTGACTCTTCTGGCCAGGGCTGGGGCCGCGGGACACGAAGCGGACCGGACGTGTAACGAGCGGCTCCCGAGCGGGTTAAACTGCGCACCCAGCGAGCTCCCGCAGGCAGAGCAGGAACAAAGCGCGCAGAGCGTCCGGGGGAGGGAGAGGACGAGGAGGAGGAGGAGGAAGAGGAGGAGGAGGAAAAGGAGGAAGGACCGTCGCCGCCGGCTGCTGCGGGCTGGAGGAGAAGGAGGAGGACCAAGAGGAAGAGGAGGGGGGCGGGCAGAGGGCGGAGGGCAGGGAAGGAAAAGAGAGGAAGAAGTTTAGAGGAGAGCAGCGGCGGCAGCGGGCGCGCACCGCAGGAGAGCTCGCTGGCAGCGCGCGGCCCGGGGCCGGGCTTGCTCGGTGCGATGCACTAAATGAAGCGGCCGCCGGGCTCCTGCGGGTGACTTAGCGCCGCCCGAGCGCCCCGGGCCCTGGAGGCGGAGGCAGCAACCGCGGCAGGAGCAGCAGCAGCGGCCGCCGCGGGCACGGACTGAGCAGCAGCAGCCACCGCCGCCCCCAGAGCGCCGCGGCCCAGCCCCAGCCGCCCCAGCGGCCCCCTCTGGGAGCCGGCCTCGGCCAAGTCCAGCCCGGGGGCCAGTCCCGGGCCGGAGGAGCCGCCCTCCAGCCATGGCGACCAAGGTGAGACGGAGCTGCGCGAGCCGGACCGGGCCGGGCCGGGCCGACGGACAGGACTCCGGCCAGACCCCGCGAGGGCCGGCCCGGGGAGGGGGAGGGGGAGGAGGACGGGGCCGGGGGCGGCTTCCCCCAGCGGGGAGCCACGGTGACACCCTTTCCCCCAAACACCCCCCCCTCCCCAGGGGGGCAGTGTCCTGGGGGATCGGGGTCCGGCCGTCCCTGGCCGAGGGTGGAGTTCAAGGGCGCCGCTTAAAGAGGAGGGACCAGAAGAGCTGCGCCCCCTCCCCAAGGTGGGGAAGGAGGCCTCTCCTGCCCTGGAAAGTTTTCACCTGAGTGTTAGTTTCCTCTCTAGCCTGGAAGGGAAAAGGAAGGGGAAGGGGGGAGGGAGGAAGGCTAAAGTCCCCGGGAGTCGGCCAGGAGCGTCCTTCCCCGGGGCTTGAGCCCTGGGGGGCGCGGGACCTCTCCCACCTTCCCTACCCCACCCCCGCCGCACCGGCTGAGTTGGGAGTAAAGTTGGGGTGCCCGAGGCTCTTAAGCAGTCACTTGTCCCGGAGACCCCAGACGAATGCCTCAGAAATGTTGGGCTTCAAAAGTTTGCTGCTCGCATAGAGAGGAAAAACTAAAATGAAACACAACGCACATCAGCTTCCTTCGTGTCTGTGCACTTTTCCAATTTTGTTATTGCCACATTTTTCGGTGCCTTGGATAAAAATGTAAGGGAAATGACTGCTCTCTTTGGCGTGTACATTAAAATTTTGTTGGGCAAAGTCATGGGACCTAATTATTTGGTGGAACGTTGACTCACAAATGGTCCTTTTCCAAAAAGGGCTTCTTGTCTTAATAATGTTATGTTGACGAAATTAGGAGACGGCTTTTGCACTTGGGGTTATGTAAACAACTCTCTGTTCGGTTCCTCCCTTACCTAGGTTTTTATCTTACTTAAAATAGGCGCAGGTAAACCATTTATCGTTAATAGGGCCGTCTGGGGGTAGTCCACTCAGGAGTTAGTGATAATGTGGTTGATAAAATTGGGAGCATGGATGTCCCGGGTTGGTTTTTTTCTTTTGAGTTTTTCTAGTGGTCACTATATACTTTTGTAGCTTTTGGCCATATTATCACTCTTTTTTTTGCATTAGTAATAAATAGAAAAATGATGAAAATTTTGGTAATGTTCAGAAAAATTAAAATTGTTCGATTACAATTACCTTTTTTGTTTACTAAACCATAATCTCCAAGTGGGGACTGATTTTCTTACCGCCCTCCTCCCCTAATTCTCCAGACTAGGTGTTTAGTAAATGTTGGAACTGAATTGATTATTTGTTTAATAATAATTACAATTTATATGGAGTCTCCTGTGTTCCTAGCACTGTACTCAGGGCTTCACAATTACTATCTCATTTCTTTCTTAACTACAACTTTGAGAGGTGGCTGCTATTATTATCCTCATTTTACAGAAGAGGAACTTGAGGCAGACAGGGTTAAGTGACTTTCCCAGGGTCACACAGCTAGTGTCTCAAGCTGGATTCAACTCACTGCTCTTCCTGCCACCAGACCCAGCATTCTATCCACTGTGCCACCTAGTTGCCCATATGTTAGATGTGTTTATATAAAAGATGCAGATTATGGCCCAAGGAACTTGTTACACGTTTTAATTGAAATCATTTTTTACTATTACTATAAAACACACTATTCCCTAGTTTTATTAGGTGTAGTCATTCAGCTTGCTGTCTTTTTAATGTAAGCATTAGTTTGGGTTGACCTCTAAAAACAAAAGTTAATATTCAGCACAAAAATTTCTAAGGAAATCTGAAATTGTTATGATGCCAGACATTCCAGACATTATCAGTGACATGCTCTGTCCACCAATCCCAGAACTTTAAAAAGGGGCACAGAGAACTAGGCTTAGTAATGAAATCTTAGTGTGCTCTATCCTGAATATCCTTTTGCATTGAAATAAATAAATTCAGATTTAACTATTCACAAATACACCACACTTTATACCAAAACTTGGACCTGTTTATTTTCAGAAGTTCGGAAAGTTTGGTTTGGATATTTGTGTGTGAGTACACCCATGCTAAACTTCGTCTGGTTGTATACTGATTAGGCAGAGCTAAAATAGTTGAATACTTACAATAGTTTGGTTATCTACACCATTCTGAAGGCAAATTTCTGTATTCTCTCTGATAAAGTTTTTTTTTCTATACCCCCCCCCCCCCGTCATTAATCCACATTGTACTTATTCCATGTTTGCATTGGAACACATTTCTGTCCAGAAGAAAAAATATTAATGATTACTCTTCATAGAAAATATCAATCACTCCAAGGAAGCTCTTACTTGACTTTGCATTTTTCTCCCCTTTCACTTTCCTGGTGAGTAATGGTAGGTTCTTCACATTGGAGAAGTTTGGTTTTCTTTATCTAACTCTCAGTTTTGAGGAAGGCTCAACTTTGTATGTATCAAAGACCAGAATTGTTATGAAACCAAATATTGATGTCACTATTGGGTACTGGTGTCAGTACCCAAAGTAGGGAGTACTAGAGCAGAACCCCAGATTTAGTACTTTGCATGGGTGGGCTTTTTTAAACTACTACATCCAGTCATTATGTGCTTATAGTTTTATGTGTGCGTACACATATATGTTTGTGTAGGTGTACATCTATACATGTATCTATATATAAATGTATGGGAGGGTGTAGTTCAGGGCATAGCATGCTGGACCTGGAGTCAGGAAGAGCTGAGTTTTAAACCTGCCTCAGACACTTAACTAGCTTTGTGATTCCTGGGCAAGTTACCTAACCTCTCTCAGCCTTGGTTTCCTCGTCTGTGAAATGGGGATGATAATAGCACCTACCTTGAAGAGTTGCTTGAAGATGTAATGAGATAGTACATGTAATTGTGGTTGTTCAGTCATCTTAGTCATGGCTCTTTGTGAGCCTGTTTGGGATTTTCTTTGCAAAGATACTGGAGTGGTTTGCCATTTCTCTCTTCAGTTCATTTCACAGATGAGGAAACTGAGGCATATTTGACTTGTTGAATTTGAACTCAGGTCTTCCTAATTCCAGGCCCATCTTTCTGTCCACTGCGCCACTTATCTGTCCCTGTAAAGGGCAGAACTTAAAAGTACCATGTGAATGCTAGCTAGCTATTAATCAGCAGAAAAACAAATACTTTTGTTTCAGTTATCCAGATATTTCAGGTAGTAATGGTTTCCCCTTCAGGCAGTTAGGTGGCATAGTGGATAGAGTGCTAGACCTGGAATCAGAAAGAGTCCTCTTCCAGCCTCACACATTTACTAGCTGTGTGACCCTGGGCCAGTCACTTAACCCTGTTTGCCTTAGTTTCCTCATCTGTCAAATGAGCTGGACAGGGAAATGGCAAACTACTTCAGTATCTTTGCTAAGAAAACCCCAATGGGGTCATGAAGAGTGGAACACAATTGAAAACAATGACAACATGGTTTCCCTGCCTCTAAATTTTCTGTCATTGTCTCCGTCCCCCATCTTTCTCTGTCAGCATTATTGACACAGCCCTAATTTCTGTGTGCTGCTTTTGTTGTCTTGTACTTTTCATTACTTTTCTGTATGTTTAGAGTCCTTTAATTCAGAGTAAATCTGTCATTCAGTTTAACATTAATAAGGATGGTTTTTAAACTTGTTGGAGATATTTCTGATGTAAGCATACTAAGAGTAGAATAAAATAAAACAAAATTTAGAAATAAATTGTTGATTTTTTTTCTTCCCTCAATAAGGTTAATTGTTTGCATAGTTTTGAAGTATTATTGTCTTATTATTTCTTTGCTCCTACCTCCATTCCCAAATGGAAGGCCAGTGTAATAGTTCATTATAACAGGGACTGGAATACGCTGTACCATGAATGAATGAAAAGGCATTTATTAATCCTTTTGTATATATATGCCTGCGCTTAAGGAGCTTACATTCATTTGGGTGGTGAAGTAGAGGAATGGTACCCAGGGAGGGGCACTCTGAAATTTCCTGGCATGATGGATGTGGCCTTAGGGAAGTGCATTCACATACCACCCCACCCCCTTTTCAGGAGAATCGGAAGAGTTGACTTGATCTGATTTCAGATCTAGAGAGGAAAAGAGAATGTTCCCAAGATGAAAGGGTTAAAATCTCCAGGGTATGGGCTTTTGGCAAGACCTGGGTAAGGTGAAGACATTGATAACTAAAGCTAGTAAGAAACTTGATCAAATATCTGCTATCATACACTGTTAGGTAGCATTGTAAAATTTGCCAAGCTTTTCTCATTCTTTGTATTTTCATCCCCAGGCCTGGGGGCTAGTATAGTGCCTGGCACATAGTAGGTGCTTAAGAGAGGCAAAATTGATTGAATGATCTTTTCAGGTGGGCCCATTTTACAGAAAAGTAAAGTGACTTGATCACGTAGCTAATGAATGAATATCAGAGGCAGTGTAAACCCTGATCTACAGTCTAGGGCTCTTTGCAGTGGTAGGTTTTTAAAATACCAACATCAGCAAAAAGTTTTACTGTAATTGAATGACTAATTCATATAAGGAACTTGTGAGTAAATGAAATGTTGATTGTATGAAAACATGTCATTTTAAGAACCATCAGGAGTTACGTTTGCAGATGTTGCAATATCCTCAAAAAGACATTTTTCTAAAAGTGCTAAGATTTTATGCATGTAATTGAACACAGCACACACATACACACACGCACACATACATACATATGAAATATACTCATGACCCTTAGCTTTAATTTTCATTCCAGAGTTAACCTTTGGTATCAAATGTAGATTGCTTTCTTGTTGACATAATCATGACCTAAATCTTTTTCTTTTCTTTTTAAAAATTTTTTGAAGGCGTTCCTAACATTAATATTTTTTTTATTCCCTCCTTTTCATCCCTGGCTTCCAAAGTACAGTATTAGCCTCATGTTGTTTGTATTAAGCAGCTTGTCTCACTAACTAAGTGGGTATGGAATGTTGAAAAAAACTAATAGTGATTGGACCACTCACA